ATAATGGGACTTGTAGTTTCACAACAGCTGGAGGGCCGCCAGTTTGACTCCCCTGGTCTACATATACAAAACTTCAGGCAGGTAAATCACTTCACACAGTCGTGTGAAAGTCTCAGTACACCCCATGGAAATAGTGACGTTTTCGTTGTATTAGAAGAAATATCAGATCTCATTTCAGCCAGTACCTACAGATAGTCAATGTCTTGTAATGACACGTAACATCAACAGAGTATTTATTCTCATACTCTCAATGATTGAAAATACAGTTTTGTCACATGAAGAAATGTACCACCATTTAATTACACAAAATTAGACTTGGGTGTAGTAGATTGTGTCGGTGATTAGAACTTTCTTTTGTCTATGCAGGTGGAACCTTTTTTTATTTAACCACTTGCCCTCCAGAGGATTTACCCCCTTAATGACCAGGCCTATTTTTGCTACTCGGTGCTGCACTAATTCAACTGATAATTGCGCGGTCATGCAACGCTGCACCCAAACAAAATTTACAGCCTTTTTTTCACACAAATAGAGCTTTCTTTCAGTGGTATTTGATCACCTGTGCGCTTTTTATTTTTTCACGCAATAAACAAAAAAAGACCAAAAATTTTGAAGAAAAACGATATTTTTTACTTTCAGCTATAAAAAATATATATAGTAAACTCAAAATTAGTTATAAATTTAGACCAAAATGTATTCTGCTACATGTTTTTGGTAAAAAAAATCCCAATAAGTGTATATTGATTGCTTTTTGTGAACGTTATCGCGTCTACAAACTATGGTATAGATACTGCAATTTACGCCATTTTTTGCTATACAGCGCTGCACTAGTTTAACGGACAATTGCGCGGTCATGCAATACGGTACATAAATGAAATTTATGTCCTTTTTTTTCACACAAATAGAGCTTTCTTTCGGTGGTATTTGATTGCCTGTGCGTTTTTATTTTTTGCGCTATAAAAAAAAAGGCTGACAATTTTGAGAAAAAAAAACAATATTTTGTACTTTTTGCTATAAAACATGTCCAGTAAAAAAAAAATTTAAAAATCAAATTTCGTCATAAATTTCAGCCAAAATGCATTTTGCGACATGTCTTTGCTAAAACAAAACCCAATACGTGTAAATTATTTGGTTTACGTGAAAGTTATAGCGTTTACAAATGGCGGGAAAGATACTTGGATTTTTTATTTTTTTATACTAATAATGGCGGCGACCAGCGACTTATGGCGGCGATCAGTGACTTATGGCGGGACTGCGGCAGACATTCTGACACTGGGGGGGGAACTGACTTAGGGTCAGTGACACCAATACAGTGATCAGTGCAAAAAAAAAAAAAAAAACACTGAAACTGTACTAATGGCACTGGGGAGGAAGGGATTAACTTTTTTTTGCACTGAAAGGGTTAACTGTGTGAGGGGGAGTGTTTTTTACTAGGGGGCGGGGGTGTGTACTGCAGGGAGACAAGCTGATCTGGACAGAGAAAATCTTTTCTCCTGGTCAGCTTGTCAGGAACTGTCAGAGAACTGACAGAAAGCAGAGCTACTGCAGCCCTGCTCTCTGTCACTGATTGCCGCTAATCGCTGGGACACAGCTGATATAACCGGCTGTGACCCGGCGACTGACACCCGCGGCTGAGATCGGCGGTTAAGGTAGGGCGGCGGCGCGCCTCACGCGTGCCCCCTACCTGTTTTTTGAAACAGGATGTTTTAAAACGTGCTTTTGCCCAGCCATGCCGCCCTGCCACCGTTTTTATACAGTGGCTGGGCGGCTAGTGGTTAAAGTGGTTGTAAACCCTCACATACACCCAGTGAAGTGACAGTTGGCGCACACACCTAGTGCATTATCCAAGGTTTATTCAAAGGGATAAAGGATAAAAAAAACATACAGACGAAGCATGTATCTAACAAGCATGTGCATTATGGAGATGGCCACAACGGCAAGCAAGGTGTTCCAAATGCGGTCAAATGGCTGATGCGTTTCGGGGACGAGTCCCTTTCCTCAGAGCTGCTGACCAGCCTCTAGGACTGGTCCAGATGTGTAGTGGATATGGTGGACCGAAGGCAGGAATCAGCAGCAAGGCCCCCCTTGGATAATGCACTAGGTGTGTGTGCCACCTGTTTATTCTTTATCTAGTGGCTGATCTCCCCGTCTGAGGAGGGCTGCACCCCTGAAGCATCTCCTTTGGTTGTCGCTGTCCTGGTTCCCTTGGCTTTCCTTTGGCTGTGCATTTGCTGAGGCGCTGGAGAGTATATACGATACCCAGTGAAGTGACTGGTGTCAAGTGATACACATAGATGAAACACATCCTCCTACATAAGTTGTACCTGTTAATCTTCAGTTTTTTGTTCTCTACATCCGTTCAAAGTGCTGCATTTTAACCACTTGCCTACCGGGCACTTATACCCCCTTCCTGCCCAGGCCAATTTTCAGCTTTTATTGCTGGCACACTTTGAATGACAATTGTGCGGTCATGGAACATTGTATTCATTTGAAATTTTTATCATTTTTTTGAGACAGAGCTTTTTTTGGTGGTATTTAATCACCCTGGGGGGGGGGGTTATTTTTTGCTAAGCAAACCAAAAACAACTGAAAATTAAAAAAAAAAAAATTCTTAGTTTCTGTTGTAACATTTTATAAATAAGTGATTTTTCTCCTTCACTGATGTGCACTAATGAGGCTGCAGTGATGGGCACTGATGAGGAGGCACTGGTAGGTGGTACTGATGGGCATTGTCAGGCACCACTGATGGGCACTGATAGGCGGCACTGAAAGGCAGCTCAGATGGGCACTGATATGTTGCATTGATGTGCACTGGTAGGCACTGATATGTGGCATTGATGGGCACTGGCAGGTGGCACTGATGGGGCTACACTGATCATCAGTGCCCTGATGATCAGTGTAGATGTTCCCTCTGAGTAATGCTGATTACCGACTCTCCTCTTCTCACAAGCTGTCAGCATGACAGCTCGTAAGGAGAGGCATGCCGATAACTGGCATTTCCTTATTTGCATGCGATCAGCTGTGATTGGACACAGCTGATCATATGACAGAGCCAACATCATCGGCTCTTTCCGTTGATCAGTAATCTGCTGTGTCCCAGGGAAACATCGCACCACCGATCGCCGTGCTGGGCGTGCACGTGCGGTTAGAGTGGGAGGACGTCATATGACATCCTCCCAGAACGAGAGTACTGCCGCACTCCCGTCATTTCCTTATATGGCGGGTAGGAGGCAGTTAAAGCTTTTCTGGGAGTTCAGAAAAAAAGGGCAGGAGAGCTGAAATTACACTCTGCAGAGCTCATTGAGGAGAGCTCTGAGAGCTGATTAAAAAGGAAGAGACACTCCCCTCCACACAGCTCACAGGAACAGAGCTGAGGCTGTCAATCAGCTGGAGGTCCCTCTCCTGTCACCATTTTTTGTTCTCTGTGTCAGGAAAACTTGTCAGAAGTGATTCATGCTGATAGCAGAGGAACAAAGCAGCAGACAAAAATGACACTTGGTGCTTTCAATTGAGATAAGTACACACTATAGAGGGATATGCTTTGTTCATGTTTAATGTCTGAGGTTTACAACCACTTAAACCTTAGATATTAGATATAAGTTGTGGTTGTCTGAGTCTAGCAAGGGTTTCTAAAAAAATAATTCCACTGGAAGGAAAATAATTTACAAGTGGCTCAGATATCAAACAACTGCTAATTTGCTCAGGACTGGCTGGCCTTGGACATTCAGCCCAAGAGCTGACCATTTGATGCTTGATGAAGTCTACAGGAACTCCCAGATATTACTCTAACTCTTGTAACAGTGACAAAGTGCATTCATCTACAACTGAAAAGAGTTTGCACCAATTTAACCTGTATGGAAGGTGTGCCAAGATAAAGCTTTTAGTGCGCAAAATGAACATTCTAGAACCGTATTGCAGTGTGCCATCGAACATAGGCAAAGACCAGGCCTTCTGGAGCAGTGTGCTGTGGATTTGTGTATATTTGATCGCAGTAACCGTAGAAATGCTTGGTGCAAACTAAAAACAGCATATTAGGAAGAGATCCCAACTGTGAGCTATGGTGGTGGAAAAATATAATTTGTAGATGCTCTGCTGCTTCAGGTCCTGGACAGCTTGTAGTTGTTGAGCCAACTTTACATTCTCCATCGTATCCAAGTGTCCTTGAAGAGAGCGTGAGGCCATTTGTATAAAAGTTGAAGCTAAACTGCAACCAAAAATGGATCAATACGCTAATGATCCGAAGCACACTAGCAGAAGAAGAAATGAAGGGTTCTGTGTATTTGGTACATGGAGTTTATCCAAGAAAACCAAACCCATAAACACATTGCATTGGACGGAATATTAATGTCACAAACTGGTGGGCAGTTGTCCAAAACTAGTAATATCTGCCGAATATATGCCAGCTTTTTTTTTTTTTTATTCTTATTTAAATGTTTTATTAATTTTTCACATGTGTGATGTGATATGCCAGCTTTTTTTTAAACACTGTTACATCTATTAATATTTTGTTTTACTAAATTATCAAAAAGGTACATTTGTGTTTTATTGAAGTACATGACCTTTATATGTAGGCACTGTTTGAAGATCTAGCATTTGCTTGTCCAAATATCTGGAAAAAGGTACGATTCCATGTCACGTAACTGTGTATTTCAGCTGTTTGCTTGGAGACAAATGATAAATTAATGTTAAAATCTTTTACTTGATTGTAAGCTCTTACCAGCCAGGCCCTCTGTTTCCTCTTGTACCAAATTGTATTATGACTGTAATGTCCACTTTCATTGTGTAAAGTGCTGCGCAAACTGTTGGCGCTATATAAATCCTGTATAATAATAATAATACTTGCGATCATCAACTGATATATTTTTTTTTTTCCATCTTTTTTAATTAGACAATAATGAATGTAGGATTCTTCAAAGGCAAACCAATTCTGGTACTACAGACAATGTAGCTGTCAAGTGTTTGAGCTTACTCAAAGGTTTAATTAAAATGACTTTATCTTTCAGGCCAAATACAAAGAACGAGGGACTGTCTTGGCTGAGGACCAGCTTGCACAGGTGAAGAAGACTGACGTTTGTTCATAATTTGTTTTTATTCTCTTCCTTTCTGTAAATTGCTTTAAGTTCTGCTGTACACAATTGTGTGCCTGGAATATGAAAAGTGGGGTATTGGCCAAAGAAGTAGTCAGATTATTGCCTTAGTTTTTTGGCCTGGAGTAGAAAAATGCCAACTGGAATATGTTGGGTTACTTTGGGTGACACTATTTATAATGAGCAGTCCATCTAGGTGATATTTATCAACCCAAGGTTTTACCTGTGTGATTATGCGCCCCAGACCACCAATGTGTGTATATGTCCCAATAAGTGTATATTGATTGCTTTGTGTGAAAGTTATAGCGTCTACAAACTATGGTATAGATACTGCAATTTACGCCATTTTTTTGCTATACAGCGCTGCACTAGTTTAACGGACAATTGCACGGTCATGCAATACGGTACATAAATGAAATTTACATCCTTTTTTTTCCCACAAATTGAGCTTTCTTTCGGTGGTATTTGATCGCCTGTGCGGTTTTTATTTTTTTTGCGCTATAAAAAAAAAAGGCTGACAATTTTGAGGAAAAAAAAACAATATTTTGGACTTTTTGCTATAAAAACATGTCCAGTAAAAAAAATTTAAAAATCAAATTTAGTCATAAATTTCTGCCAAAATGCATTCTTCGACATGTCTTTGCCAAAAAAAAAAAACCCAATACGTGTAAATTAATTGGTTTACGTGAAAGTTATAGCGTTTACAAATGGCGGGAAAGATACTGGGATTTTTATTTTTTTTATACTAATAATAATGGTGGCGACCAGGGACTTATGGCGGCAATCAGCGACTTATGGCGGGACTGCGGCGGACATTCTGACATTGGGGGGTACTGACTTGGGGTCACTGACATCCCCAGTGACACCAATACAGTGATCAGTGCAAAAAAAAAAAACCACTGACACTGTACTAATGGCACTGGGCAGGAAGGAGTTAACTTTATTTTTCAGTGAAAGGGTTAACTGTGTGAGGGGAGTGTTTTTATTAGGGGGCGGGGGGGGTGTGTACTGCAGGGAACACCGCTGATCGGGAGAGAGAAACTCTTCTGTCCTGATCAGCGTGTCCTGGAGCTGTCAGGGAACTGACAGAAAGCACAGCTACTGCAGCTGTGCTCTCTGTCAGCGATTGCCGGGACATAGCCGGTAACGACCGGCTGTGACCCGGCGACTGACATCCGTGGCTGTGATCGGCGGGACAGGTAGGGCGCCGGTGCGGCTCGCGCGCCCCCTACCTGTTTACAAAACACACGTTTTAAAACGTGGTTTTGCCCAGCCGTGCCACCCTGCCACCGTATTTGTACAGTGGCTGGGCGGCATGTGGTTAAGAGTAGCTCAGAATGAACAGACTGCATATATTCTGATTCTAGACCATCTCACTGCTGCCTGCTGTGACTTTTAGTGACTGCTCTGGCTATTTGCTTTCTCCCATTCTCTCCGTGTAAATGTGACAGTTAACCTTACCTATGGAAAGGATAGAATGTAGGTTAGTGCTGGAATAAGCACAGACATTGTGAGTTCAACACACCCCTGCACATAATGTTGAATCTCTGCAAACACTTGAATTTCATTCAACTGCCCACTGGAAGTCTAACATTAAAGCCTGACAGGGCTGTGTACATGCCACGTTTGCAGTAATTTTAACACGGGCTGCAGAGTTTGACTCGCTTATTGTGATTAGTGGGGGGCGCATGGCAACCACGAGCCAAACGCATGGCTTGAAGTTTTGGCACAGTCCCATAATGTAAAATTGCCATTGGTCTATTTAGAAAAAAAAAACAAAAAAAAACGGCATAGTAGGCAGTAGTAGCCATCTCCTAAATGCCTAGCAGCCACTGCTGTATCGCCCTCTGAAAAGTGATACACACTGGATCGCTTTGCAGAGTACGGTAAGTATTACCAGCTGTCTGAAAAAGCCCTACTTTACAATTTTGATGAAAGTTCAGTATAAAATAGTTTTCAAAATGAATGGTCGTGAACCAGTGTTGCTGGAATTGTTAGGGAAAAAATGAATATTCTGCTCTTTTTTTTCCTGTGTTACAGATGTCAAAACAGTTAGAGATGTTTAAAACGAATCTAGAAGATTTTGCTAGTAAACACAAGCAAGAAATCCGTAAGAATCCTCAGTTCAGAGTCCAGTTCCAAGATATGTGTGCAACAATTGGAGTGGACCCTCTGGCCTGTAAGTTGATTAACTTTTTGTCTTTCTTTTATTTCAATTCCTGCCTTGGTGGAGCCTGCATGCACACTTCATACAGTAGGTATAGAAAAGAATCTCCCCCTCCCCCTTTAAAATAATTACATTTTGATGCTTTGCAGCCTGAAATGAAGACAGACACCATTTTTGTTTTATTCTTCTGTATTTACTTAGTGCAACTTATACAAGTGAAAGATATAACACCAACATGTCAGAAAAAAAATTCAAAAACCGAATCACTGAGTTGGAAAAAGGATCACTCCTTCTGTCAGTATTTTGTTGAACCACCTTTTGCTTTAATTCCAGCCTTTAGTCTGGTGGGATATGTCTCTACTAACTTTGCACATCTAGACTTTGTAATATTTGCCTGCTCCTCTTTGCAGAACTGCTCAAGTTCAGTTGAATATGATGGTGACTGTGGATTGCAGTCTTCAAGTCATTCCACAGATTTTCAATGGGGTTTAAGTCTGGACTCTGACTAGGCTATGCAAGGACATTCGCTTTTTTCTCCTCCAACCTCTGTGTGCTCATTTTTACTGTGTGCTTTGGGTCATTGTTATGTTGGAAGGTGAACCTTCCCATTAACAACTTTTTGGCAGGGGGCAGCAGATTTTCCTCAAGAATTTGATGATATTTTGCCCCATCCATTTTTCCTTTCTATCCTGACAAATGCTCCAGTCCCTTCTGCAGAGAAACCCCCCATACCAGGATATTGCCCCCTCAATGCTTTACTGTAGGAATGGATGGAGAGGTGTATTTGATTTCTGGCAGACATAGTTTTTGTTGAGGCCAAATCATTCAATTTTAGTCTCATCTGATCATAACACCTTTTTCCATGTGGCCTCAGAATCTGCAAGGTGCGTTTTGGTAAAGCTCAGTCATGACTGCATGTGGTCTTTCTTGGGGAGCAGCTTTTTTTTTCTTGCAATCCTCCCATACAAGCTACATTTGTGGAGGATCTGTGATAGTGTTGTCACATGCACACAATGACCACTCTTTGTCATCAATTCCTGCAACTGCCTCAGAGTTGCTATAGGCCTCTTGGTAGCTTCTCTGACCTGTTTTCTCCTGGCTCTTTCATCCAGTTTGGAGCGACGTCCTGATCCAGGAAGGGTCTGTGTTGTACCAAATACCTTCTACTTCTTAATAATAGACTTCACTGTGCTTCTACGCATTGATATAGTTTTTGTCTTTTTGTTGTATCCATCTCCTGACTTGTGCCTGTCCACAACTTTATCCCGGAGGTCTTTTGACAGTGCCTGACCACCCATAGTTGACTGTTTGCTTCAGTTGCACTATCAGAGACTGAAATACTCCAGGAAAGCCCTTTTCATGCTGAGCTAATCAAAATGACCACAGCTGATCACAGTTAAAAGTCAAAATAAATTGAATAACTCAAGCGCTATGGTGAAATGAAAACAAAAAATTACAATTAAATACTGTGGCCACTACTGCACACAACCCATGTCTCAGTGGGGCAAATGATACAATCATAATGTGAAGTGAAAAAATGCTGCGCTACATGAAACAAGGGCACAATCCATTATATAACCAAAAAACAAAGTGAAAAAATATGTATAATATGTATATGAGAAGAAAAAAATTGTAGAAAAAATATTAATATTGAAATAAAAATATAAATAATAAAAATGTGTGTGTGTGTATATGTATGTGTGTATGTATGTGTGTATGTGTATGTATATATATGTGTATATATATATATATATATATATATATGTATATATATATATATATATATATATATATAAAATTTAAGTATGAATAAAACAAAAGTCATTCAAAAATTCATGTTCAATCAGTAATGTGTTCATTCAGTGAACTCTTCTTTTTGGATAACGAACAATATGTGCATCTGTCATCAATTCCCGTGCAAAGACATCCTCCACCATATATCTGCTCACCTCACGCAGTGTGACCTCACATTATACAATGTTACGGTCTAACTGCACTTTTGGTCCAATATGGACTCAGAAGATCAGCTTGCTGAATGAAGACTCCATAGTAAGCTCCCTCCTGATAAGTGTCTTTGTATCAGCCGTATTCCTCACTAAAAAGAACTCAATATAGTGCTTTATATTCATATAATTATATATATATATTTTATTATCAGTTCAATATTATTATTATCTACTATTTTTTTTCTATATATATATATATATATATATATATATATATATATATACTTTTTTTTTCACTTTTTTTTTTTTGGTTATATAATGGATTGTGCCATTGTTTCATGTAGCACAGCATTTTTTCACTTGACATTATCACAGTTGAAAGTCAAATGGCTTTGTGTGCCATTGCGCAGGTGATTAGCTACACCTGATTGAGTTTATAAGTCATTTTTAGGAGGGAGTGATCCTTTCCAACTCAGTGATTTTGTTTTTACATTGTTTGGGGGGGAGGGGTTTACATTTTTTTTCTGACACGTTGGTGTTATATCTTTCACTTGGATGTTATAAGTTGCACTGAGTAAATAGTCGGACAAAACAAAAGCTGTAAAAGAGGTAATATGCGAGCGCTATCCGAGAATCTATAAAGGATAGCAGCTAGAACACCAAAAAAGGTAACCAAGAAAGAACCTTCCAACAGAGTACATACATATAAGGTGCAGCGCTAAAATAACATAACATAAATATAAACATCATATTATAGCATAAAATCAAGTGCAAATATCAGATCACACTGAGGTGAAATTGAGTGAATAAAAAGTCCCAAGATAAATGAAGGCCCAACGTGGGGATCCAATAGATCCTAATGAGTGCATGGGGCAGAGTTCCAGTGTACCACACGGTGAATCTGGGGTAAAAAAGTGCGCACTCACCAGAAGTGCGTCAAAAATACGCATGTGAGAGATTTATCCTGTTACATCAGGTAGTGGTCATCTACTGCCAAGGTAAGGTCAGGGTCATACACCTTCCAATCGCAACTCTGGGTAGGCACTCCAAGATTCTTAAAAAAAAGTATCTCAAACGTGTCACCATCTGGGGTCCCCTTTTTTGAACAGGTTCTGCAAGTGGGGACTCTCATTGAAGAGAGCCCAATAAGGGACACCACATAGCGTGATACCATATACACTGAGTTTATTATATCAGAAGGTAACACAACAATGAATGGTAGGGATAAAATGAAATGGAAGTAAACACTGACCAGATACTGTTCAGGATGGCCACCAGCGGTGGTCAGACGTCCGGATAGGGGGGCTACAGTATTGTGTGTGTTACCTTCTGATATAATAAACTCAGTGTATATGGTATCAGTTGCGATTGGAAGGTGTATGACCCTGACCTTACCTTGGCAGTAGATGACCGCTACCTGATGTAACAGGATAAATCTCACATGCGTATTTTTGACGCACTTCTGGTAAGTGCGCACTTTTTACCCCAGATTCACGATGTGGTACACTGGAACTCTGCCCCCGCGCACTCATTAGGATCTATTGGATCCCCACGTTGGGCCTTCATTTATCTTGGGACTTTTTATTCACTCAAAAACAAAAGCTGTGTCTGTCTTCATTACAGGCTGCTAAGCAACAAAATGTGATTATTTTAAAGGGGGTGATTCTTTTCTATACCCACTGTATTCTGAAATGATCATTAAAATCTTTGTTATGTGGCAGTAGTTTTAGCAAGATGCTTGAATGTTGTCTTGTCTTTATTAAATTTAGGGCAAGGGCTTAGACATCAAATGAAAGCACATATAAATCTAAGAACATACCTTTCCTTTATTTTCATCTCCTCATTCTGTCAGTAATAGACTTCTTGTCTGCGGTGCCATTGTTCCCTCACTGTACTGGAACCTTTTCTTCTAATTAGGGTCAAGGAGGTATGTATCTCAGAAGAAAACTGAGAAGGCTGCTAACATTGGTTGAGATTTCAGTTCACTGAACAGGAAGTCAGAAGGGTGTCAGATTTCTGGCAGGATGTACAAGCATTTCTTTGTACCTGCAGAAAATGGGCAAATGTTCTTGGCCTGGAAAGAGTACTAATGCAGCCAGCACAACTAAGGACTGCTTAGTTGTAATACAGTAAATATTTGTTCTTGGGTTTAAATACAGTGGATATAAAAAGTCTACACACCCCTGTTAGAATGTCAGATTTCTGTGATGTTAAAAAATGAGGCAAAGATAAATAATTTCAGAACTTTTTCCACCCTTTTAATGTGACCTATCAATTGTACAACAAACTGAAATCTTTTAGGGGGGGAGGGAACATAAAAATCTAAAATAATGCGGTTGCATAAGTGTGCACACCCTCTTATAACTGGGGATGTAGCTGTGTTCAGAATTAAGCAATCGCATTCAAAATAATGTTAAATAGAAATCAGTACACACCCGCCATCATTTTAAAGTGCCTCTGATTTACCCCAAATACCGTTCAGCTGTTCTAGTAGGTCTTTTCTGACATTTTCTTAGTCGCATCCTACAGCAAAAGCCATGGCCGCAGAAAGCTTCCAAAGCATCAGAGGGATCTCATTGTTAAAAGGTATCAGGAGACGAGTACAAGAGAATTTCCAAGGCATTAGAGCATGGAACACAGTGAAGACAGTCATCAAGTGGAGAAAATATGGCGCAACAGTGACATTACGAAGAACTAACGTCCCTCCAAAATTGATGAAAAGATGAAAAGAAAACTGGTGTGGGTGAGGCGGCCAAGAGGCCTACAGCAACATTAAAGGAGCTGCAGGAATATCTGGCAAGTACTGGCTGTGTGGTACATGAGACAACATTCTCCCATATTCTTCATATGTCTGGGCTATGGGGTAGAGTGGTAAGACGGAATCCTTTTCTTATGAAGAAAAACATCCAAGCCCGGCTAAATTTTGCAAAAAACACATCTGAAGTCTCCCAAAAGCATGTGGGAAAATGTGTTATGATCTGATGAAAACAAGGTTGAACTTTTGGCCATAATTCCAAAAGATGTGTTTGGCACAAAAACAACACTGCACATCACCAAAAGAACACCATACCCACAGTGAAGCATGGTGGTGGCAGTTTTTTTTCAGCTGGAACTGGGGCCTTAGTCAAGGTAGAGGGAATTATGAACAGTTCCAAATACCAGTCAATATTGGCACAAAACCTTCAGGCTTCTGCTAGAAAGCTGAACATGAAGAGGAACTTCATCTTTCAGCATGACAACGACCCAAAGCATACATCCAAATCAACAAAGGAATGGCTTCACCAGAAGAAGATTAAAGTTTTGGAATGGCTCAGCCAGAGCCCAGACCTGAATCCGATGGAAAATCTGTGGGGTGATCTGAAGAGGGCTGTGCACAGGAGATGCCCTCGCAATCTGACAGATTTGGAGTGTTTTTGGAAGGAAGAGTGGGCAAATATTGTCAAGTCAAGATGTGCCATGCTGATAGACTCTTCTCCAAAAAGACTGAGTGCTGGAATCACATCAAAAGGTGTTTCAACAAAGTATTAGTTTAAGGGTGTGCACACTTTTGCAACCATATTGTTTTATTTTTTTTTTATTTTTTACTACCCTCCGCCTAAAAGATTTCAGTTTGTTGTTCAACTGAGTTGTACAGTTTATAGGTTACATTCACCACTTGCCTATCAGGCACTTTTTACCCTCTTCGGTCCCAGGCCAATTTTCAGCTTTCAGCGCTGTTGCACTTTGACAATTGTGCGGTCATGCAACATTGTACCCATATGAAATTTTTATCGTTTTTTTTCACACAAATAGAAATTTCTTTTGGTGGTATTTAATCGCCACTGGGTGTTTTTATTTTTTGCACTATAAACAACAAAAGCAAAAATTTTGAAAAAAAAAATGTTTTTCTTAGTTTGTTAGAAAATTTTAGCAAATAAGTAATTTTTCTTCTTCAATGATGTGCACTGATGAGGCTGCGCTGATGGTCAGAGTTGCTGGTTACTAGCTGTCCTCTGATAACTGGTAAGTTGCTTTACAATGTGATCAGCTGTGATTGGACAAAGATGATCACATGGTAAAGGGCCGCTGTGATTGTCCCTTTTACCTCGATTTGTGAATAGCTGTGTCTGAAGGACACAGCAATTACAGAGCCTGCCCAATGCGTGCCCCAGAGGGGTGACAATAGACGCCCTCCCAGAACTAGCCGACCATGCTGTATCCCTCATTCGATGGTTCAGAGAGATCTGTTTGTAAAAGCAGCACACATTACACATAGGCACACATTTATCTTCTTAATTGTCCTAGATGATAACCCCTTAAAATATCACTGATCACTATAATAATGGCAGTTAGTCAGTGTCACATTGCCCACCACACTTCCGCAGCCCCATTAAAAATTGCTGATTGCCGCCATTAGTAGTATTAAAAAAAAATTCCACTATATATCCCATAGTTTGTAGACACTAGAACTTTCACGCAAACCAATCAGTATACACCTATTGGGATTGTTTTTTTTTTATCAGAGATTTATGGAGAAATTTTGATTTTTTTTTTTTTTTTTTTTTTTTTCTAGCAGTATGTAAAAAAATTTAGTTTTTCAATATTTTTGGTCTTTTTTTTCATTTATATTACAAAAAATAAAAAAACAATGGTGATCAAATACCATCAAAAGAAAATTTTGTTTGGGTACAGTGTTGCATGACCTCTCAATAACCAGTTAAAGCAGTGCAGTGTGGTATAGCAAAAACAAAGGGCCTGGTCATGAAGGGGGGTAAAATCCTTCGGAGCTGAAGTGGTTAATAAAACTAAAAACATTCCCTTTAAGGCTGGCCATTAATTATACAATTTTCTTGCGATTTTTGGTTTAGATTTACCAAAAACCATATAATATGAGATCAAACCTAACAACACTTTAAATTGTATCCAATTAAACAGGCTCTTGCACTACATAGTTGAAGGTAAATCTAAAGGAAACTGGGCAGAAATTGGACAGAAAATTGTATAGTGTATGGCCAGCCTTACTTCCTGACATGGACTGTATTTAGTTAAAAATATCTTTTAACAAAAAAAAAAAAAACTTAAATCGTCCCTTTAACCCCCTGGCATCGACTGAATTCAGTCTATAAAACTGAAATGTGCAGGTGTACTGGGTGCACCGCTGGATGTAAACAAATAGTGGAGCTGCAACTGTCAGATCGAGGTAAGTCTTTTCGCATCTGTGGGGAAGGGGGAAAAAATTACAAGTGCACATACCTGTCAACGGCTAAAACTGACCATGTTTTAAAGGATTGATGCTTAAAACTGTTAATAATTCATCATTTTTGCTTTTTGCCTTTTCAGCTGGGAAAGGATTTTGGTCAGAAATGCTTGGCGTGGGTGACTTTTATTATGAGCTGGGTGTGCAAATAGTTGAAGTCTGCCTGGCTCTTAAGCACCACAATGGAGGTAAGTGCAAGGAAGAGTGTTTAGTAAAAGTTAATCATTTCTTTGTAATTGATTTCAGCGCCCATTCCAGTAGTCAGATCTTTAGTTACTAAATGCATTGTTATTACTTGTCCTTTGAGAGACACAGGAAATGTTAAAGGATAGGGTCAGCTTAGGGCCCCTTGCACACAGGCATCATACATTCTTGAGTGAACATCAGTAAATTATGACACCTGTGTGCAAGGGTCCTTAGGAGCATGTTACTCTCATATTTAGGTTCAGCGGCGGACTGACCATTTGGAAACCCGGGCACTGCCCGAGGGCCCGGGGTCAGTAGGGGGCCCCATGAGATGCCCCTGGTACCTTTCAAAGGCTTTTTTGGGTATGGTTTGAGTTTGGGCAAGGACACAGGGGCCCCATGATCCCCTATTGCCCGGGGGCCCCATGAGTTGTCAGTCCGCCCCTGTTTAGGTTGAAACATGCCCCTATGCACCCACCTTCCACCGCCAGTAATCCCCTCTCTGTGACAGCAGGTGGGGGTTCCTCTCCCTACATTTGCTGTCACAATTTCAGAACAGTGCAGCCATGCAGGGCTCCACCCACATGACCTCGTCATTCATCCACAGTTTCCTTCTTGTAGTAGAACTGCGTGGACACTGGCGAGCGCTCTTTAGTTTGATTCTTCCTGCAATTCAGTAACTGCCTGCCTGTACAGTAGGTATTTGCAGACAGCTTACTGTGAGCCTGCAGGAATCTGGCATTGCATCCACAATCTGCTGATTTCAGGTGCAATACTTTTACAAGTTGCAGTGTAAAAAAAAAAATTCACTTTTTTAACCACTCCAGAGGATTTCCCTCTTCCTGACCAGGTTATTTTATGCGTTACGGCGCTGTATTACTTTAACTGATAATTGCGCGGTGATGCAACACTGCACCCAAATTAAATTTACGTCTTTTTTTTCTCCACAAATAGAGCTTTCTTTCGGTGGTATTTGATCGCTTGTGCGTTTTTATTTTTTCACTATTAAAAAAAAAAAACCCCACAATTTTGAGAAAATAAAACAATATTTTTGACTTTTTGCGGTTATACATGTCCAGTAAAAAAATTTAGGCCAAATTGTATTCTGCTACATGTCTTTGCTAAAAAAAAAAAAAAAAAATCCAAACACGTGTAAATTAATTGGTTTTCATGAAAGTTATAGAGTTTACAAATGGTGGTATATATTTTTTTTTTTTTTTACAAATGGTGGTATATATGCTTTAACTGCTGATGGGAAAAGGTATTTAGCAGTTTATATTTACTAAAATAATTGCATTTCCATGTTCTGTGTACTGTGGGAGACCAGATATAGTGAATGCAGGGTCCCGGGAGACCAGATATAGTGAATGCAGGGTCCCGGGAGACCAGATATAGTGAATGCAGGGTCCCGGGAGACCGGATATAGTGAATGCAGGGTCCCGGGAGACCGGATATAGTGAATGCGGGGTCCGGGGAGACCGGATATAGTGAATAATGCAGGGTCCCAGGAGACCGGATATAGTGAATGCAGGGTCCGGGGAGACCGGATATAGTGAATGCGGGGTCCGGGAGAGACCGGATATAGTGAATAATGCAGGGTCCGGGGAGACCGGATATAATGAATAATGCAGGGTCCGGGGAGACCGGATATAGTGAATGCGGGGTCCGGGAGACCGGATATAGTGAATGCGGGGTCCGGGGAGACCGGATATAGTGAATGCGGGGTCCGGGGAGACCGGATATAGTGAATGCAGGGTCCCAGGACCGGATATAGTGAATGCCCGGTCCCGGGAGACCGGATATAGTGAATAATGCAGAGTCCGGGGAGACCGGATATAGTGAATGCGGGGTCCGGGGAGACCGGATATAGTGAATGCCGGGTCCGGGGAGACCGGATATAGTGAATGCGGGGTCCGGGGAGACCGGATATAGTGAATGCGGGGTCCGGGGAGACCAGATATAGTGAATGCAGGGTCCCAGGAGACCGGATATAGTGAATGGAGACGGATATAGTGAATGCAGGGTCCCGGGAGACCGGATATAGTGAATAATAGAGTCCGGGGGAGACCGGATATAGTGAATAATGCAGAGTCCGGGGAGACCGGATATAGTGAATGCGGGGTCCGGGGAGACCGGATATAGTGAATGCCGGGTCCGGGAGACCGGATATAGTGATAGACCGAATAGTGAATGCCGGGTCCGGGGAGACCGGATATAGTGAATGCCGGGTCCGGGGGAGACCGGATATAGTGAATGCGGGGTCCGGGGGAGACCGGATATAGTGAATGCGGGGTCCGGGGGAGACCGGATATAGTGAATGCGGGTCCGGGGAGACCGGATATAGTGAATGCGGGGTCCGGGGAGACCGGATATAGTGAATGCGGGGTCCGGGGAGACCGGATATAGTGAATGCGGGGTCCGGGGAGACCGGATATAGTGAATGCGGGGTCCGGGGAGACCGGATATAGTGAATGCGGGGTCCGGGGAGACCGGATATAGTGAATAGACCGGATATAGTGAATGCGGGGTCCGGGGAGACCGGATATAGTGAATGCGGGGTCCGGGGAGACCGGATATAGTGAATGCGGGGTCCTGGGAGACCGGATATAGTGAATGCGGGGTCCGGGGACCAGATATAGTGAATGCGGGGTCCTGGGAGACCAGATATAATGAATGCAGGGTCCGGGGAGAGCGGATATAGTGAATGCAGGGTCCTGGGTTTCGTAATTTCATTCACTTTGTTTTATGTTGTGTTTTTTTTTTTCAAATATATAATTGTTAGCTTTCGTTGGCTTTCCTAACACGTGAAGAATAACAGTTTGGAAGCCAGATAGGTAGCAATGCTGCTGCTTTCCACCTTTGTAGAGAATCCAGAAGGAATGATTTATCAAAGCAAGAACAATTGCATTGCCCATCACAACCAATCAGATTCCAGCTGTCATTTTGCCTGATCAGGTTAGAATACAGGAAGAATGAACTGCCCATGGAGACCAATCACATTCCAGCTGTGATTTACCTGTTCAGGTTGGAGAATAAAAGCTGGCGTCTGTCAGATTGTTATAGCTCTATCCTTTGTTTATTGAAAACGTTTAGTCTGTGTGTTTCTTTGTTCCTAGGTTTGATCACACTAGCTGAATTGCACCAGCAAGTTCTGAAGGGAAGAGGGAAACTCACTCAGGACGTCAGTCAGTAAGCATCCTCCCTCCCTCTTTCAGAGAGCCCTAAGCAGTCAATACAGCAGAGTCATTGGCATACTTTCTTATTTCAGAGATGATATCATCAGAGCAATCAAAAAACTCAAAGTCCTAGGTAGTGGTTTTGGCATCATCCCTGTGGGTGGATCTTACCTGGTGCAGTCGGTTCCTGCAGAGCTGAACATGGATCACACCGTGGTACTACAGCTGGCAGAGGTTAGTACAAATGAATGTCTTTGGCTTGCAGCTTGTAATATTTTACAGAACAGGGCTCTATGGCAGAGAAATGTTTGTTTAGAAACAATACTTTGTGATCACGTAATCAATTAGGCTCGGTTCACACTGCTGCGACTTGGGATTCAACTTGTGAAACACGAAGTCACATGAAATGTGACATCCCATGTCAGTCAATGAGAGCTGTCTTAATTGGCTCTACTGAAGTCGCTCTGACTTTAGAAAAGATTCCTGTACTACTTCAAGGCGATTTCTATCCGACTTTAGAGTTGAATGGAAGTTTCCTCTGTGTTGGATCTTCATCCTATATTGATATGATTTGGATCCAGCATTACATGAAGATTACCCAGGCAAAGTCGTATGACAAGAAAGTCGCCCATCAAGTTGCAGCAAAGTCATACTCAAGTCACCGGCAAATTGGCAGGAAGCTGTCTGGCAAAGGTGCGCGATCTTCAGGTCTCAGTAATGTAAACTGAGCCTAAGCAGACCTTGGAAGTGTGAAAAATGAACTGTCCTTTTTAACCACTTTGTGTCTGGCACTAATTTTCTTACTTACACACACAAAATTTTTTTTTTTTGCTAGAAAATTACTTAACCCCCCCCCCCCCCCAGACAGTTATGTATTTTCTGGAAGAGGCCCTGTATAATAAAATGGTGGTAGTTTAAAATTTTGCACAGTATTTGTGCAATTGATTATCAAACACATTTTTCAGTGAAAAAAAAAAAAAATGCGCTAAAAATAATTTGAGTACACAAGCAACATATAACACCCAATTGTTTTGTAAAATATAAACAATGGGATTGCATAGAGTACATAGATGCCAAACTACACTTCGCAGTGTGGTAAATGTAACCACTTTAACTGAAAAGCTGGTCACTGGCTGAAAAAAAGTGCAAGCAGCAGCCCTGAGCTTGTTTTAACCATTTGAAGTCCAGACTGTTTATAAACAGCCTATGGATGGCGAGTGGTTGCTTGTGTTTAACCTCTTGCCAACCGTGCTATAGCCGAATGACATCCACAGCATGGTTGTTAGTTCTGGGAGGGCATTATGACGTCCTCCCAGAATGTGCCCTCCCACACGTGCCCCCAGCGATCTCCATGATCGCTGTGTTCTATGGACACAGCTGATCACATGATGAGGTAAAAGGCCAATCACAGCGGCCTTTTTACCACATGATCAGCTGTGTCCAATGACACAGCAGATACGAGTAAATACAGTTGCCGGTTATTTGCAGCACTCGCCTCATGCTGTCACAGGAAAGTACTGCCGATAACTGGCAATTGTCATAGAACGGATCGGCACTGATCATTAGGGCACTGATGATCAGTGCCGCCCAGCAGTTGCACCCCGTCATTGCCACCTATCTGCCCATCAGTGCTGCCTATCCATGCCACCTCACCAGTGCCTATCAGTGCAGCCTCATCAACGCACATCAGTGAAGGATAAAAATTACCTGTTTGCAAAATTTTATAATAGAAACAAAGAAAAACTTTTCTTTTCAAATTTTTTTTTTGCTCTTCTTTTGCTTATAGTGCAAAAAATAAAACACCCAGTGGTTATTAAATACCACCAAAAGAAAGAAACAATGTTATATGGGTACAGTGTTGCATTACCGCGCAATTGTCATTCAAAGTGTGCACGCGCTGAAAGCTGAAAATTGGCCTGGGCGGGAAAGGGGTAAAAGTGCCTGGGAGGCAAGTGGTTAAACTGACTGGAAAATGTGACAATATGGCAGCTACAATTGCTGACTTTTTAACAGGCTAGCCCCAGGATTGTCATCCTAATACTTTCTTCAGTACCTGGTGAGTTAATGACATGGAGCAAACATGCAAGGGTTGAAGTTTTGACTTTTGAGACTTCACTGGTTGCATTCTTATTCAAGTTCAATGATTGATTAGGTCCTGAGAAAGGTAAGTAAGGAAGGGTAAGCCCTTGTCTGTTTTTGTTCTGCTATTGTTATCCCATTTTCATTCCTGTCCCATAGACACAACATGATATAAATGAGGGAAGTTCTCTCATTTATAAAGAGTTTGTCACCAAAACAAGTGTGCGTATTAGAGGATCCCTTCCTCATGTCCTGCTCTGGTGACATAAGTTTGGGCTTTAAGGTGGTTTCACATTGCTGTCCTGCGGTTTGACTGCAGCATGGGTGTCCCTGTGGTTTTTGTGCGATTATCCCAGTTCCCATAGACTTTCTATTATGTCTGGTGTTTCTGGCATATTTTCTGAAAGCGCACCAAAAGTCCTGCTAGCTGCATCGTTGGTTTGCTTTCAGAAAATGCGCCAAAAACACGCAACCAAAAGAGTCTGTAGGAAACCGCCGTTAACCATACGAAAACCATGGATACACCCGCGCTGTGGCCAAACCGTGTGAAAATGGCTTTAGATGCACTTTAGTCTGTAATACCAGTTCTCATTGCTCTACCCTTTGGAGGGTTAACTCTTTCACTGCTGCTGACTAAAGTATTCTGTTAGTGGCAGCTCTGGCGTGTAAACAAACTCCTGGCTGCTGTGCACCAGAGTTCATTTACCTGTTTTACAATGAACTGTCAACTTTCTAGGAAAAGTGATGTCGCCTATTCTCCCCTCTGCTCATTCTACCACTTTTTAGTGGATTGGTGGAGGGATATAGCAGCATGTTCAGCAATGCTTTGGTAGAATATTGAGCGTATGAACAGTAGAGAAATACCCAGGGAACAAGCAAGATCTTGCTGATGTTTGGGGTTTTTTTTAACCCATTAGCTCTACTTTGTTCACCCTGCACACATGTTCGCTCAGGGATGGTCAACCTTTTGAAGAGCAAGGGCCAATTAAGTGATTTGGTAACTGGATGTGGGCCACAATGAAGTTAAATCAGAATTTTCAATTTTATTTTTTTTTTGAATTGCATAATAAACATTTTCCTCCTGCTGAATGCCGATGGGAGGGAGAGGAGGAGAAGCTGGCTTTCAGTAGTCGCAAGACAATAATGGAGAGGATCAGTTCTTGTAAATGCCACCCCCGCCACTCCTCCTGTCCAAGTGTAAAATAGTATGTGACGGAGGCCACATGACCCCTGGGAGCAAAGGTTGGGGTCGCCATTGCACCCTCCCAAGACTACACCAGTGGTTTGAGGGGGTGTGTGGGGGGTAAAAACACATCTCAACTATGTGGTTTTACTTTGCTCTGCCAATGTAAATGAGCCCTTACTGTCCTGAACCCCCTATAATGCTGCTTTCACACTGATGCACTGCACTGCAGTTTACCCGCATCGTGGATGCAGTGCACCTGCGGCTTTCCTGGGGGGGTTAGCTGTTCTTTGCCATAGACTTCTATTATATCTTCCTGGTGTGGTGTACTTTCTGAAACTCCTGCATCCAGTTTGAGGTGGAGGGCCACATCAGAGGGATTCAAAGGTGACAGATTGAGCACCCCTGTCTTAGCTGGCTGATTGAAACTGAAATGTTACCCGGAACCTGCAGACGTATAGTAACATTTAAAGTACAATCGCTAACAAACTTTAAGGGCCAGTTCACACTCCATGCGTTTTCAGTGTTTTTTTTTCTGCATCCAAATCACACAGAAAGTAGGTTATATGGTTGTCAATGTCAGAGTTCACATCAGTGCTTGTAGTTTCAGTGTGTTCTGGTTGCAGAATAAAAAAAAGCAGAACATGCTGCATTTTTTTCTGCACAGAACTGCACTGGAACGCGGTAAAATGCATAAAAACTGCACATCCCAATTTAAATTGCAGAAACAGGAAAAAATGAACTGGAATGCGTCAAAAATGCACCAGAATGCAGCAAAAACGTGCATGTAGAAACGCATCTGGACTGCGTTTATACAGTGTGAAGCAGCTCCTAAACCAGGGGTGGGCAAACTTTTTGACTTGAGGGCCGCAATGGGTTCATATATTGGACCCGGGGGCCGGACCAAGAGTAGATGAATGATGTGTATGTGTCATCCATAGTAAGTATAGTAATATTCCCCCATAGTAAGCATAGTAATTAATCCCCCATATAGTAATTCATCCCCCATAGTAATTCATCCCATATAGTAATTCATCCCCCATAGTAATTCATCCCCCATAGTAATTCATCCCCCATATAGTAATTCATCCCCCATATAGTAATTCATCCCCCATATAGTAATTCATCCCCCATAGTAATTCATCCCCCATATAGTAATTCATCCCCCATATAGTAATTCATCCCCCATATAGTAATTCATCCCCCCCCATATATAGTAATTCATCCCCCCTATAGTAATTCATCCCCCCTATAATTCACCCCCCATAGTAATTCATCCCCCATATTAATTCATCCCCCCCATATTAAGTCCCCCCTGTGTCAATTCACTTACCTTTGCTCCGCGCGTTCCTCTCGCCGTGTTCCCGCGCCGTTCCAGTGTAGCATGAAAATCTGTCTCCTATGAGGATCTGTCCCCCTCGACGTATTTGCGCATGTGCCAGTTTCAGGCATTAGCAGCCGATCGGCGATCTCCGGCACATGCGCAGATACGTCGAGGGGGACAGATCCTCATAGGAGACAGATTTTCATGCTACACCGGTCTTCAGGGCGGACTGTGAGAGGAGCCTAGCGGGAGCCTAGCTCCGCGGGCCGGATTAAAAGGTCCGCTGGGCCGTAGTTTGCCCATTGCTGTCCTAAACATTGCATTTAACAAAATATCACATTAATACATAATTACATAGTCTGGCTTAAAGACAAAAGTCCATCCAGTTCAACCATAAAAAATAAAAAGTTATAATCCTATACCCACAGTTGATCCAGAGGAAGGTAAAAAAAAACAGCAAAGTATGATCCAATTTGCTCCTGCTGGGAAAAAAAATTCCTTCCTGATCCCCGAGAGGCAATCGGATATTCTCTGGATCAACTTTACCTATATATATTAGTAAATATCAACATCCATAGACTAAAGTACACCTTCATACTGGCAGGAATCCTGTGCTTGCAACATTTGCAAAACAAACGGCCTCTCTAGAGGGTCTCTGTCTTTTTAGTTTCCTTTCAGTTTCTTAGGTGCACATTTCTAGGGCAGCGGTATGGCTTAACTGTGACCATCACACCGCTTTCCAAAGAATATCCTCTGGCATATTTTTCAAGCAGAGCTGAGCTCTTTACAAATATACTTTGCTTGCTTTGGGACTCTAAATCAAGGTAAACCCCATTCATTCTAATGGATAGGAGGAGAAGAGCTGTCACATGATACGTCATGCTTCATACTACCTTGAAATGGCCACTGAGTTCTGCCGGCAGGTGCCACATTCTAAAGAGTATACATATCACAAAACTGCTCTTTAAGCCTGGGTTCACACTTGTTTGTTGTGGAACATCTCATGTCATTCGCAGAGGAAGCGCACTGCACTCCTGTGCAAATCACATGCGTATTCTGTGCAGTGCAATTTGAGCCATACATTTTGTATGGATCAAATCGCACCGCATTCGCACCAAAAAGGTGCAGGACCCATTTTTTGTCCACACTAGAATCAAATTGCATGGGTAGTCACACCCATGTGAACCGATTCTGCACATTGCACCGCGTTTGCAGACCGATTTCGGGGTGTTAATATACACACCTGTACTGGTTCGCATGAACGGGGTGCAATTCTGATGCAGTGCGGAATTCGCACATAAACCGCTAAGAATTCCGCACTGCATCAGTGTGAACCCAGGCTTACCGTGGATCAGATATTTACTCTTTACACTGTCATTGAATATCCTTATTCTATGTTTTTTAATTAAATCTTTTGGGGGGGGAGTGTAATTTTTTTTTTTCATCTCAGTTTAAAATAGTTTTTAAAGTGATTGTAAGTCTACCATTTGTATTTTTTTTTTTTTAAAATCGTTTCGTACAGAACAGCCCTGAACCCCGTCTTCTTGGGTCTCACGTTGGTGCTTCTGGTTTCTCCTCCTCACCGAGTGCCCCCATACCAAGCTGCTTGGTAGGGGGGTACTCGTGCAGGTTTACTCTCAAGCTGACACACACTCACACTGCAACTTGGCCCCACCCCTGCTCTTTCCTCATTGGCTTTGATTGACAGCAGAGGGAGACAATTGCTCTCGCTGCTGTCTCTGAGCCAATGATGGAAAGAAAGGAGAGAGCCATTGCTCTCTTGCACAGTGCTGGACCAAGATCAGGCTAAGGTAAATATAGGGAGATGCTGGGAGAAGAGCAATACACAGAAGATTTTTTACAAAAATGCATAGAATGCTTTGTTAAAAACCTTTTTGCTTTACAACCACTTTAATGTGGTTTCATTAACCACTTTAGCTCTGGAAGGTTTTACCCCCTTCACATCCAGGCCATTTTTTTGCTATACCGCACTGTGCTACTTTAACTGGTAATTGCACAGTCATGCAACTTTGTACCCCAACAAAATTATATTTTTTCACACAAATAGAGCTTTCTTTTGGTGATATTTGCTCACCACCAGGGGCGGACTGACAACTCATGGGGCCCCCCGGCAATAGGGGATCATGGGGCCCCTGTGTCCTTGCCCAACCAAAAAGCCTATGAAAAAGGTATCAAGGGCATCTCATGGGGCCCCCTACTGACCCCGGGCCCTCGGTCAGTGCCCGAGTTTCCAAATGGTCAGTCCGCCCCTGCTCACCACTGTGTGTTTTTTTTTTTTGCACACAAAAAAAAGACCAAGAAATCTGAGAAAAAAACAAAACAATATTTTTTACTTTATGCAATAAAATATATCCAATATAAAAAAATTAAATAAAATTTCTTCATAAATTTTGGCCAAAATGTATCTGCTACATGTCTTTTGGTTAAAAAAAAAAAAAAAAATCCCAGTAAGTGTAGATTGATTGGTTTGTGTGAAAGCTATAGTGCCTATGGGATATCTACTGGATTTTTTTTTTTATTATTATTATATACTGCTAATGGCGGTGATCAGTGACTTATAGTTGAACTGGGGGAGCGTGCGGACAATCTGGCGCTAAATGACACTGGCATCGATGCTGCCATCAGTGATAATACTATAAACTGTCACTGTACTAATGACAATGACTGGAAAGGTGTTACCATCTATGGCAATCAAGGGGTTAAATGTGTGCCTAACTATTTAACTAACTTTTAATGTGTGTAAAGTGTGCTGCTTTTACTAAATGATTTGGAGGGATGAGAAACTGACAGATCGCTCCCTCTGTACAGAGCTCTTTGTTGCTTACCAACACAGAGCTCTGGGCTGTGACTGTACACAGCCGATCAGCAGGTCCCAGCCGTGACTCATTTGCTGGTACTTGCTGATAGGCTCCCATTGTATACAATCACAGCGGGTGACGGCGGTGGGGGGTGCGTGCGCCTGAACCTGGAAGCAGGCAGTGACATACCTGTACGTTGCTTTGCCTACAGCAACTACCTGTCCATAAACTGGTTAAAGTGGAATTTCTGTTTGCCAACATTGACTATTTTTAATCCTTATGCTGCTACCATAAGTATATCATGTTTACTTGTCTAAAACCTTTTTTTTTTTTTTCAATACCATTTCTTCAGTCACTTCCTGGTTTCCATGTCTAGGTAAATGATGTCACACATCCCAGATGCCTTCAGGAGGACAAGTGTGGTTTTCTTAGCTAAGCACACCCTCCTACCTGCATGCCTGATCTAAAGGCAGATTGATTCCAGGAAGTAATTGCTACATGAATCATCCACCCTTACTTAACCACTTCAAATCCGGACACTTTCACCCCCTTCCTGTCCAGGCCCATTTTCAGCTTTCAGTGCTATCACACTTTGAATGACAATTGCGCGGTCATGCAACACTGTACCCATATGAATTTTTTTGAGACAGATAAAAGTTTTATTTTGGTGGTATTTATTCACCACTGGGATTTTTATTTTTTGCTATATAGATGCAAAAGTCCAAACATTTTCTTCTTATAAAATTTTGCAAATAAATAATCTTTCTTCATAAATCTTGGCCAAAATGTATTCATCTATCTTTTTAGTAAAAAAAAAAAACCCAAATTAGTTTCTAACCAAAAATTAGTTTCTAACCAAAAATTATCATTTTAATTTTTTTTTTTTTTTTTTTTTTTTTACATTTTTATTTTATTTTTTTATATTTATTTTTAACATACTGTCACCCTAGCAATACAGTGTCACCACAGTGACACTGTACTACTTGTGGGGGGTGATGAAGATTTTTTTTTTCTTACACTGATTGCTTTTACACGCATAAAAGCTGTAAAAGCAATAATTTCTCCTTCTCTCTGGCTGCATTCTTGCAGCCAATGAGAAATACTGTGCGAGCTGTGATTGGTCACAGCTTGTCACATGGTACAAGGCTGTTGTGAATAGCCCTGTACCATGTGACCTCTGTGATCATTCACAGATTTCACAAGTAATAAGTAATGATGTCAGGAAGTGACATCTTGCTTACTACTATTCATGTGATCACTGATTGGCCAATCGGTGACCACATGATCGGGACCTCGCACAGAGGTCCCGTCCGACGATCGGTGTTCCACTGTCTCCGGAGGACACAGCGGGCATCGGATTGCGGTGCTGTGCGCTCCCAGGGAGCGCGCACAAGCAGGGTGCGGGGAGGCCGTTTATAAAAACAGCCACCCAACCCTGCACTGCCACCGTCCGGCTGTTTATATACAACGGCCGGACGGGAGGTGGTTTAAAAAAAAAAAAAATGTATACTAGTAATGGCAGTGATCAACAACTTAAAGCGGGACTGCAGTGGGCATGCTGACACTGGGGGGGTGAACTGACTAACTGCCACTGACATCTCAATGACACTAATCAGTGCTAAATAGCCTTGTACCATGTGACCTCTGATCATTCACAGATTTCACTAGTAGTAAGCAATAATGTCAGGAAGTGACATCTTGCTTACTACTATTCATGTGATCACTGATTGGCCAATCAGTGATCACATGAACGGGACCTCACACAGAGGTCCACCCACAGCGGGCACCAGATCGCGGTGCCGCTCACTCCTGGGGAGCACGCACAGGCAGTGAATGTGGGGGCCATTTATAAATGGCCACCAGCTTTGGCACTGCTCCTGTTTATGTGCATGGGTCAGACGGGAAGTGGTTAAGATAGCCACAGCCAGAAATGCTAGGGGGTGGTTGTTTTTTTTTTTTTTATAAATGATTTACCAACAAAATAAAGCATGGATCCCTGGATGGATGGATGGGTGAGTTTGCGTTGAATAGTAAAAATGAATGAAAGTGTTTTTTTGATTTGTGGGTCTCCAATGCAGTGTTGTTCCACTTTTATTGTACTTTGTTATATATTTATATAGCACTGATGCATTATGCACTGCTTTACACCGTAGATACAAGCACGTGTATTGTATTGGTCCTTGTTCCAGAGGAGACTATTGCCTCCTAGAAGGAAACCCACATAATAGCAGGGGAACATGCGCACTCCATGCAGACAGTGATAAATAAATGCCTGATTTCAGTGCTACCTGATAAATCACCATTCATATCTTTTCTTGCAGAAAAAGGGCTATGTGACAGTTGGCGAAATACAATCAAGTCTGAATTGGGAGAAAGAAAGGGCAAAGCATGTGCTGGTGAGTTGACTGTGCATCCCCAGACCTGTACTGAAGTGTACCTGTCACATACTAGTGATAGGGAGGTGTAGTGGAGGCAGTCATTGGCACTGGTTCTTAGTACATTGATTCTATGAGCTGGAAATTATTGCAGTCTTTGGTCTGACAGGTTTTGTCCCCTAGGCTAGGTGATCCAGACTAGGTTCACACCTGTGCCAATGGTGCGGCTTGCGTTTGGGCAGGCACAGCAGTCCATTCATTTAATGGGCTTCTGTAACTGCAGGAAACACAGGAAAAAGACTCTGCACCTTTTAAAATTGCTGCCGCAGGGAAATCAAATGGTACTTTGTGAATGTGATTTCCCGCATCAAAACTGCATTTTCAGGTGAGTGATGGTGCCATTAAGAATTAATAGCAGTGTGGTTTGCCATAGGGTGCAGAAATGAAAGCAATTTACACACATTCTCACACCTAGACTTGGGGCCAGTTCACACTACATGCGTTTCAGTTGCTTTTTTTTCTGCATCCAAAACACACAGAAAGTAGGTTATATAGTTGTCAATGTGATGGTTCACATCAGCGCTTGCAGCTCCAGTGCGTTTTGGGTGCAGAAAAAAGAACAGGCTGTGTTTTTTTTTCTGCGCAGGACTGTACTGGAACGTGGTAAATCGCACGTCCCTATTTAACTTGGGGAAAAAAATGAACTGGAATGCATCGAAAACGCACTGGAACGCGTCAATAATGCGCATATGGAGACGCATCTGGACTGCGTTTCTATACCGTGAATTGGCCCTTCAAGAAGTAGAACTAAAGGCAAACCTTCTTTTTTTTCTCATTTTGAATAGTTGGACAGCTTTCACACTGAGGAGTTTTTCAAGCGTTTTTGTGTTAAAAAAAAAAAAAAAAAAAGCGCCTGAAAAGCTCAAGAGAACTGCTTCCCTGTGTATGTGAATGTATATCTATGTACAGTGAGGAACAGAAGTATTTGAACACCCTGCGATTTTGCAAGTTCTCCCACTTAGAAATCATGGAGGGGTCTGAAATTTACATTGTAGGTGCATTCCCACTCTGAGAGACAGAAGTTTAAAAAACATTCAGGAAATCACGTTGTATGATTTTCAAAGAATTTATTTGTCTTGCACTGCTGAACATAAGTATTTGAACACCTAAGAGACAGCAAGAATTCTGGCTCTCAAAGACCTGTTACTGTGCCTTTAAAAAGTCCACCTCTACTCCACTCATTAATCTAACTTAGTAGCACCTGTCTGAGCTCTTTAAAGACACCTGTCCACCCCACAGTCAGTCAGGCGCCAACTACTACCATGGGCAAGACTAAATAGCTGTCAAGACACCAGAGACAAATTTGTGGACCTCCACAAGGCTGGAAAGGGCTACGGGGCAATTGCCAAGCAGCTTGGTGAAAATAGATCAACTGTTGGAGCAATTGTTAGAAAATGGAAGAGGCTAAAGACGACTGTCAGTCTCCCTCAGACTGGGGCTACATGCAAGATCTCACCTTCTGGGGTATCACTGATGATAAGAAAGGTGAGGAATCAGCCCAGAACTACAAGGGAGGAGCTGGTCAACGACATGAAGAGAGCTGGGACCACAGTTTCAAAGCTCACTCTCGGTAGAACACTACGCCGTCATGGTTTCAAATCATGCATTGCACGGAAGGTTCCCCTGCTCAAGTCATCACATGTCCAGGCGCATCTGAAGTTTGCCAATGACCATCTGGATGATCCAGAGGAGGCATGGGAGAAAGTCATGTGGTCAGATGAGACCAAAGTAGAACTTTTTGGTCTGAACTTCACTCGTCGTGTTTGGAGGAAAAAGGAAGAGTTCCATCCCAAGAACACCATCCATACTGTGAAGCATGGGGGTGGTAACATCATGCTTTGGGGGGGCTTTTCTGCGAAGGGGACAGGACGACTGCACTGTATTAAGGAGAGGATGAATGGGGCCATTTATTGTGAGATTTTGAGCAACAACCTCCTTCCCTCAGTCAGAGCATTGAAGATGGGTCGTGGCTGGGTCTTCCAACATGACAACGACCTGAAGCACACAGCCAGGATAACCAAGGAGTGGCTCCGTAAGAAGCATATCAAGGTTCTGGAGTGGCCTAGCCAGTCTCCAGACCTAAATCCAATAGAACATCTTTGGAGGGAGCTGAAACTCCGTGTTGCTCAGCGACAGCCCCGAAACCTGACAGATCTAGAGGAGATCTGTGTGGAGGAGTGGGCCAAAATCCCTGTTGCAGTGCAAACCTGGTCAAGAACTACAGGAAACGTTTGACCTCTGTAATTGCAAACAAAGGCTTCTGTACCAAATATTAACACTGATTTTCTCAGGTGTTCAAATACTTCTGTTCAGCAGTGCAAGACAAATAAATTCTTTACAAATCATACAATGTGATCTCCTGAATTTATTTTTTACTCTGTCTCTCAGAGTGGGAATGCACCTACAATGTGAATTTCAGACCCCTCCATGATTTCTAAGTGGGAGAACTTGCAAAATCGCAGGGTGTTCAAATACTTCTGTTCCTCACTGTATGTTTTCTCACTGAGGCGTTGCATTTGTGGTATGATGTAAAAAACCCTGCTTGCAGCATCTTTGGGGCATGTTTGGGGAGTTAAAAAAAAAAAAAAAAAAAAAAAATGACCCAAAGATGCCTCTTCCCATTGAAATCAATAGAAATTGCCTGAAAAGCGCCTCAAAAAACCTCTCTGAGAAGCGGTTTTTGGTGGAGTTTTTAAGTCACGTTTCTTTAAAAACACCGCCTAGAAAGCGCAGTAAAAATGCCTATGTGTTTTTACGGCGGGTCAGTGTGAAAGTAGTCTTAGGGAGGGTCAGTCCTCCCCTCACATGGAGATCGCCCTTCACTTTCTGTACCATAGCCAAACAGGAGGTGAGTGGAGATCCCAGCAAAGTGAGGAAACCCTGGTTGTCATCAGGACTAGTGTCCCCATGGGAAGATTTCCCCTCTATTACTGCTCTGGGGACAACCCAAAATTTTTGGAATTTTCTGTTACTTTCACTTTTGGTGATAATGAGAAACAGGACAAAAAGAGAAGGGGAATCTCCTGACAGCAGGGGTTCTAATCCCTCTCCACTGTCTGAAACGTAGAAAAAAGTTTTGTCTTTAGTGAAACATTAACCAATGAACTGTGCATTGTGGTGCTTTCCAGGCCTTGTGTACTGTGCCAGTTACCTGCAGAGCATTCATTTCCCCCAAATCCTGCATTACTGCTGGTGTCACTCAGTCCATGTTGTCACTCGTTGTCACTCAGTGTTCAGACTGGAGCATAAGGCTCCATAGCAGATCGCTTTGACAGCTCTCAGCGCACTTCACTTCTGTGACCTTCACTGACTACACTCTGCTTTCTAGCACTTTGCAGACCTGAGTGACTGTTAGTTGCAGGGAGCTCTCCTAATCTACAGCCATGACCCCCCAGTCTCTGCTATGACCCCCCAGTCTCTGCTATGACCCCCCAGTCTCTGCTATGACCCCCCAGTCTCTGCTATGACCCCCCAGTCTCTGCTATGACCCCCCAGTCTCTGCCATGACCCCCCCCCCCCCCCCGTCTCTGCCATGACCCCCCCGTCTCTGCCATGACCCCCCCCCCCGTCTCTCTGCCATGACCCCCCAGTCTCTGCCATGACCCCCCAGTCTCTGCCATGACCCCCCAGTCTCTGCCATGACCCCCCGTCTCTACACACCCTTTTTTTCTATAAATGAAAGGGGCAATCTGGCCTGCATTATGCAGCTATTTGCATGGCTGTATCCCCCCCCACTGTCATCTGTAGGGTTTAGCCTGAAATGTGACCTTCCAGCACGAGGTTTTATACATGACACTTCTCAGAATCTGAGTGTACTACTGTCTCAATAGAAAGCACTTCCAGGTTCAGAGAATGCAGCTCACAGTTTGCGTCGCCAAATCTCTTAAGAAATTGCTTGCCTGGCACCTCCTCCATTCAGAAAACGTCTTGTACTTTTTTTTTTTTCAATGAATACAAGGCATTCTCTGATTGCCCCTCCTCTGCACCTTGTCCAACCAGAGAATGCCTTGTATTCATTTAAAAAAAAAAAAGATATTGTGATGTTCATCAATGAATACAAGGCATTCTCTGATTTGACAATGTAGAGAGGAGGGGCAGATGAACATCAGAATATCTTTTCTTTTCTTTTTTTTTTTCCCCATCTTCCCCTCCTCTCCACCTTGTCCAATCAGAGAATGCCTTGTAGTCATTGAAAAAAAAAAATACTGTGATGTTCATCAATGAATACAAGGCATTCTCTGATTAAACAAGGTAGAGAGGAGGGGCAGATGAACATCACAATAGCTTTTTTTTTTTTCAATGAATACAAGGCATTCTCTGATTGGACAAGGTGGAGAGGAGAGGCCAATGAACATCATAATATCGTTTTTTTTTTTTTCCCATCTTCCCCTCCTCTCCTTGTCCTTGTCAGAGAATGCCTTGTATTCATTGATGAACATCACAGTATCTGTCCCTCCTCTCCACCTTGTCCAATCAGAGAATGCCTTGTATTCATTGAAAAAAAAAAAGATATTGTGATGTTCATCTTCCCCTCCTCTCCACCTTGTCCAATCAGAGAATGCCTTGTATTCATTGATGAACATCACAGTATCTGCCCCTCCTCTCCACCTTGTCCAATCAGAGAATGTCTTGTATTCATTGAAAAAAAAAAGATCTTGTGATGTTCATTTGCCCCTTCTCTCCACCTTGTCCAATCAGAAAATTCCTTGTATTCATTGGAAAAAAAAAAAAGATATTGTGATGTTCTTCTGCCCCTCCTCTCCACCTTGTCCAATCGGAGAATTCCTTGTATTCATTGATGAGCATCACAATATCTTTTTTTTTTTCATTGAATACAAGGCATTCTCTGATTGGACAAGGTGGAGAGGAGGGGCAGATGAAAAAAAAAAGATATATTGTGATGTTCATCTGCCCCTCCTCTTCACCTTGTCCAATCAGAGAATGCCTTGTATACATTGGAAAAAAAAAAAGATATTGTGATGTTCATCTGCTCCTCCTCTCCACCTTGTCTAATCAGAGAATTCCTTGTATTCATTTACCATCACAATATCATTTTTTTTTCCTCAATGAATACAAGGCATTCTCTGATTGGACAAGATGGAGAGGAGGAGCAGATGAACATCACAATATACCATCATCCATTCATTGAAATTAATACAAGACATTTTATAAGCAGAGAAGGTGCCATGCAAGTGACTCTGTATTCTCGCTGTGTTTTCAGCTTGCATTTGAACTACAGAAAACAAATGTGTGTATCTCTATCCTATGAATTTTAGAATGATTTCTGAATATGAATGATTCGGCTATTTCCGTGTTCATGTGATCTCACTGTTGTCACCGTTTAGGAACATTTACTGAAGGAAGGCTTGGCATGGCTGGATCTGCAGGCGGACGGAGACCCCCAGTACTGGCTACCAGCTCTCTTTACTGAACTTTATTCTGAACAAATTTCTCCCGAGGAGTCCAGTGAGGGACCACCATGACACCTGCATCTGGGCATTGAAATCTCCACTACCTCAGACTCCTCTGTGTGTGTTCGGTTCCCTTTGCCCTGGGAATGGAGCAGATCTATGTGGCATATGATCCAGCAGCCGTGTTTACATGTGCAGTGGAGACGTTCCACTGATGGAGCAGAGGACATTTGTTAGTGGAGTTCAATCACAGCCATATAGAGGCCTTCTCCTATGTAATGACGACTGTGCTACAGACTGGATCAGCCACGTATCTGAAGTGTACCTTCTCCAGGGCCATTTGGAAATGAATTGATACAGAATGTATACAGTTCACTGAAGAAACTGGCCCCACCCCCCATCAGTCTGCACAAAAAAAAAAAAAACTTCTATTCCACTGTACTATACTTTCTACAATAAAATATTGTAATATTAAAACTCTTTTATATTTGCTAATTAGAACCTACAGTAGGTGCCCAGCCTTCAGATCAGCAAGGGATACTGTCACCAGCACACCGAGGATCACTAATATGGGTCCAAAAGATTTAATGAACGATCACATAGTTACAGCAAGGCAACGTTTCGAAGTCTCGCAGGACCCCTTCATCAGGCATGTGAGCTTTCAGGTCAGGACACCATTTTTGCTTTTAACCACTTCCCATCCGGCCCATGTATATAAACGGCCAGACGGGAGCAGTGCAGGGGCGAGTGGCTGTTTATACACGTCCTTCCCAATTCCATGCTTGTGCACGCTCCCTGGGAGTGCGCAGCACCGCAAGCCAAAGCCTGCTGCGTCCGGAGGGCACAGCAGAACACCAATCATTGTACAGGACCTCTCTGTGAGGTCCCAATCATGTGATCACTGATTGGCCAGAGTAGTAAGCAAGATGTCACTTTTGACATCATTGCTTACTACTAGTGAAAGTTGTGAATGATCACAGTGATCACATGGTACAAGGCTATTCACAACAATCCGTGTAAAAAAAAAAAAAAAAAAAATCTTCATCACCCCCGATCTGGTGCCCGCTGTGTCTGGACCTCTGTGTGAAGTCCCGATCATATGATCACTGATTGGCCAATCAGTGATCACATGAATAGTAGTAAGCAAGATGTCACTTCCTGACATCATTGCTTACTACTAGTGAAAGTTGTGAATGATCACAGAGATCACAAGCTACAAGGCTATTCACAACAGCCTTCTACCATGTGACAAGCTGTGACCAATCACAGCTCTCACAGTATTTCTCAGTGGCTGCAAGAATGCAGCTGGAGAGGAGAAATTATTGCTTTTACAGCCTTTGAGTGTAAAAGCAATCAGTGTGTAAAAAAAAAAATAAAAAAAAAAATTCATAACCCCCCACTAATAGTACAGAGTCACTATGGTGACTCTGTACTGCTAGGGTGACGATATGTTAAGAAAACATTAATAATCTAAAAAAAATTAACTAAAAATGTAAAAAAAAAGTTTAGAAAAATTATAATTTTTGGTTATAAACTAATTTGGGTTTTTTTTTTTCTTTTTACTAAAAAGATAACTGAATACATTTTGGCCAAGATTTATGAAGAAAGATTATTTATTTGCAAAAATTTTATAAGAAAAAACACTTTTTTTTCAAAATTTTTGGACTTTTTCATTTATAGCAAAAAAAAATAAAAATCCCAGTTGTGCATAAATACCACCAAAATGAAGTTTTATCTGTCTCAAAAAATGCTAAAAAATTCATATGAGTACAGTGTTGTATGACTGCGCAATTGTCATTCAAAGTGCGATAGCACTGAAAGCTGAAAATTGGCCTGAGCTGGAAGGAGGTGAAAGTGTCCGGACTGGAAGTGGTTAATGTGGTTGTAAACCCTCACATATACCCAATGAAGTGACTGGCCTCAGGTGATACACAGAGATGAAACAGCAAATCCTCCTACATAAGTTGTATCTGTTTATCTGCAGTCTTCTGTACATCCGTTCAAAGTACTGAATTTATAAACCTTGTCTGAGAGTTCAGAAAAAAGGGGCAGATAGCTGGTTACACTCTGCAGAGCTTAGTGGGGAGAGCACTGAGAGCTGATTGGAGGGAAGAGAAATGCACCCCTTTACATAGCTCACAGGAACAGAGCTGAGGCTGTCATTCTGCTGGAGGTCTCTCCTCTATCTCCTTTTTTCTCTTGGTGTCAGGAAAACATGTTAGAAGTGATTAATGATAGCAGGAAACAGAAATTACACGTAGTGCTCTTAACTGAGACAAGTACACATTACAGAGGCATATGCTTTGTTCATATTTCATGTCTGAGGTTTACAATCACTTTAATCACCCAAAGTGATATTTTGGTTGTCAGCAAGTTGAATCACATGGTCACTTATGCCTCATCAGCGTTCTCATTTCTGCAGACTTTAACCTCTTGGCGCTGGCTCCTCCCGGCCCTTTAGCCGGGAGGGGTTTTAGGGTCATGTGACCGTCATGATTTGCGGTCATTTGATCGGAAAAGGTCCCGATCGAAAGGGGAGATCGAGACTTTTCCGGGAGTTGCGGACATATGTGCTGGGAGCTCGCAGGGCGCACGCTTTCAGCACATATGTAATTTCTAATTGCACGCACATATGCGGCTGCTCGGCGTCAAGGGGTTAAAGTTCAAACCAAAAAGACCCCACACCTATGATGATCCAGGAATCAAGTGATTGGAGATCTCCAGGTCTCCATCATTAAGCCCTGTCAAGGGGAGTTGTTGCCAGGAGTGCTAATATCTGCTTGCCTGATAAATCACCTGGAGGCCTGGAACGTCATAGGTGTGTGTGGTCTATCTTCCCAGCTTAAGGCTAGGTTCACATCTGTACGAAAATCCGTGCAGCCGCACCACCCGCAAAGAGGAATGTGGACCCGCGGGTGGGTGCCATTAGTTCTAATGGCACGCCGCCAGCACTGGAAAATGCAACCGTACTGGGAGCCGAGGTTCCCTTGCGGGCTGCGTTTTCAGAAGGAGTGCAGGAACTTCTCTGCGTGTCCCGGGGCAGGGGAGTCCATTCAAATGAATGGGCTCTCGTGCCTGCGCAAAATGAGGCCCACACAGCCACATATATTTGAACCAGGGGTAAATGCTAAGCAGAGCGTGGGTGAGCTCTTGGACCACGGCACCCAACTGGATGGCAAGATTGAGGGAAAAAAAAAAGTAGCTTTGGTCTCCTATGTTATTGATAAGGGGAGAGTGGGTAGAAGCTCTGTAGTCCTGTCCGAGGGTAACGATGCTGTTCCACAGATTCTGTAGTGTGACTGTTTTCACCCTAGGATTGGAAGTGTGTTACTGGCAGGATCACATCTGGGAAAAAAAATTAATGCAGCCATCACACCCGGTTCTGGGTATTTTTTATTCTCCGTGTTCTGTATGTTCTGCAAGTGCTTTGTGTGGGGTTTGCCATGGCCCTGGTGTCCCAGGTTATGGCGCATACTGCGGCGCTGATGCTTTAGGGCAGAGGTGTCAAACTGGCTGCCCTCCCAGCTGTTGCAAAACTACAAGTCTCATCATGCCTCTACCTTTGGAAGTCATGCTTGTAACTCTTAATCTTGCAATGCCTCATGGGACTTGTAGTTTACGCAACAGATGGAGGGCCGCCAGTTTGACACCCCTGCTTTAGGGACTAGCTGGGGCAGGTCTGTCCCATCTGGCTGTGCTCGTAGGTGTGTAAAATGCTTTGGTGGTTCCTGATGGCAGCGTGAACCTATTTCTAGGCAGTCTGTGCTGACCTGAGACCACCAGGAATTCATGGCTCTTACTAGGAGTCTAGGTGACCTGGTAGCCCATTGGTGTGGCCTCCTGCACTCCACTCACTCAGGCTGGCTCGTAATTGAAGCAGCAGTTTTGCAGCCTACGTGAACAGAAGCCTCAGCAGCCATGTTTACTTTGGGTTTGTGTACCATCACTTCTGCCGGTGCTCTGAAGCACTCTTGACAGGCGGAGAGGATGGGAGCTGGCTGATGCAATACGTGGGCTGCCTTACACAGAATCACTCTGCAGCAGGGTTCCAGGGTTGGCCAGTTTGTCTAATCTCTTTTTTTTTTTTTGTCTGGTTAGTCCTTCCTTCTTGATCTCTGTTCAGTATGCAGTACGTCAGTAGGAGCTTGGTGGCACTGCAGTCTGCATGTCCTGGGCTCAGTTCCCAAAGAAGGTGATTTGTTGGTAGCCTTTTTAAAGGGATCAGAACTTGGGGGCTCCCTACTGACCTGACTATTATGTCTCCTCAACCTCTGTCACAGCGCTGGAGCCTTGTTTTGCTCTGCTGTGGTTGTTTACAGTTGTATCTGGATGTACTCTACAGGCATGCTATCTTTAGCTTGTGGAATCTGGGGCATCCTTGGAACTCTCCTGGCTTCATCCTCAGCCTGATCCTATGAGGGTGTCACTGCAATCTTGCAGGTTTGTATGGATCAAATAGCAACAGTGGCAACATGCGCGCCTCCATAACTTTCTCACCGCAGTATCCTTGTCTGTGACTTGGCAGCTCTGAGCCAAAGGCTGGTAGACCCCTGAGCCAATCAGCCTTTGGCTCAGAGATCTAAGGCTGGTAGACCCCTGAGCCAATCAGCCTTTGGCTCAGAGATCTAAGGCTGGTAGACCCTGAGCCAATCAGCCTTTGGCTCGGAGGTCTAAGGCTGGTTAGCCTTAGACCTCTGAGCCAAAGGCGGATTGGCTCAGAGGTCTACCAGCCTTTGAGCTTATCAGCCTTTGGCTCAGAGATCTAAGGCTGACAGACCTCCGAGCCAATCCGCCTTTGACTCGAAGGTCTAAGGCAGGTAGACCTCTGAGCCAAAGGCTGGTAGACCTCATCTGAAGCCATATCTTGTAGGCTTCTTGGGGGGGTAAGCTACTGAGAGTTGCCAGTTATCAGACTTCCTTGGGCTGTTTTGACTTGGTTTCTTTCATTCTTAAGCAGGCCATACATGGGTTGAATTCCAAATGATTTTTCGATCAAAAATGTAATTTGTTCTGTAATCCGATGGTGCCACCAATTATTTTGAAAATCAGTTGTTTTTCACGAATTTTCCAAC